TGTCTCTGTGTGGTTTTGCACCAGGGTCTGGACGCTCTGCGTGCGACCCCTATCTCTGCATTTCCATGCCTGAGTCACGTGTGTGCCCTGCCCACATCTGTGTGTGTCTGTGTGCACTTGACTTGTCAGCACATATGTCCCTGTGTGTTTGCCTAGGGAAAAGGACACTGCCCTTGTCTGGTCCCAGCCTCAGTCAGCTATAAAAGGTGGGGAGGGGGTCCACGGGAGAACTGCCGCTGCTGCTGACCAGGAGGACAGAGGCTGGGCCTGCAAGCTGTAGACACAAGTGAGGGTATTCCCATAAGGAACCACGGCCCTCCCCACCCCAGCCCCCCACATCCCATGACACCCCCAGCGCATCCCACAGTCAGGCCAGACCGAACTGAGCCTCCCATAGGGCCCTCCTTGGCTGGTCACCTGGACCGTGGCTGTGGTCATGGTGGACCAGAGCATGTGGAATAGCTGTGCTTGCTCTATGGGCAGGGCGGGGGGTGCGGCCTCCAGACAGCCCCATGAGGCTCTGGGATCTCCTCCTGCCTAGTCTGGAGGGGGGTGTCTGGAGGGGACAAATGAGGTGATGCTGCGACATGACTGTACTTCCCTCAATGGGGTCAGCTTGAGGCTGCCCTAGGCGGGGGTGAGCATCTTAGCTTAGAGAACCTCCTTAGGCTGGGTGGCTGGGGGGGCCTCACAGGTGCAGCCCCAGGGGCAAGGATCCTGGCTGATGATTTTCTTGTGTAAGTTCCCGTGCCCTCTGTCCTGACACAACTTGAGGGAATGTGAGTGTGTAGTGTCCCCTCTGGTGGACTGCTGAGGCCACCATCCAGGAGAGGAGTGTGTGTGTCTGTGTTGAAGTGTGGGACCGTGCATATGTGTGTGTGTGATATGTCTGTCCGTAAATCAATACGCCCCCTGTCTGTACTGCTGTAGACAGTACTGCCCATGTAGCATGGGGGTTTAGGGTTTCATATGAAAATGACCTTCGTTTCATGTGTTTCCCCATTGTAGATAAGCCGTTTCTCTTACCTGGGTATTTGTGTCTGTGTTCCTTCTACTGATTAACTACTTTTACACTTGAATTCTGTATTATTTCTTCTACTTTGTTTTGTGTTAAAGGAGAAAAATAAAAAGGCAAAAAGCTGGAGAAAGAAACAAACAAAAAAGCCCGCATGTCCCCAGGTCCCCCTTAGAGGGTCAGGAGTGTGCTGCCCTGGACTTAGTCTCCAGCCCTGGAAGGTGAGGGTCCCCAGGCCCCCCAGTTGTTTCCATGTGCTCAGAGGCATTCCACACACTACACACCTCAACCCCCAACCTCCTCCCAACTCCACACCTGAAATAGGGGTCTGGTTCTTAGGTGCTGACAGACACAGGACTTGAGGAGGAGTAGGTCCAGCCAGCACCGCCCTCCTCAGAGGGCCAGCAGGCCAGTGTGGGCAGAGCTGAGGGGGGGCAGCAGCCCCAGACTCAGCAGTCCCCCAGGAGCGTCCAGCCCTGCTCCAGAAGGAAGGTGGTGGGCCAGTGAGTGAACAGGGGATGTGGGATGATTCTGGGGTCAAGGGAGGGTCACCCCTGCAGGCTCATCAAGGCCAGGGGCCACCATACCATCACCCTCCCCCCTTTAAACCCTCTGGCAGGGAAGGCCGGCTGCTCCTTCCAGGCCAGGCCTGGCTTCACTCCAAGTCCGGGGCTTCAAGCCACGGACTCATCCTGCAGCCTGGACACAGTGATCAGCCCTGCCCTAGGCCCAGCGTCCACAGTCACCTCCCTCAGTGTATGGTCCACGTGGCTCTGAGTCAGGTACTATGGGGCTGCCACTGTCCCCAACACAGCCGCAACCCCCCCACACACACACAGACAGACAGACGTGCACAGACACACCTATAGATCCACACACGCTGTATACATACATGCAGAGACACACAGACACAGAAAGACATACACCCACATACAGATAACAGCCAGATACAGAAAGACAGACCGACCCAGTCATTGGATAGCCCTCAGCCTTCCAAAGACACCCCCTCTCCTGCATCCCCAGGCATGGATGAGGTAGGGCTTCTGAGGGCTCCAAGTCTCATTCCCCCCACTGGGAACGTAGCCAGAAGGGCTGGAGCTGCTGCCCCTCCTCCCCACCCCCTGCCCCCAGAACAGGAGCTGATGCTGGCCAGCCCCCCCCACCCCAGAAAGCAACAGCCCTTCCTGAAGGAAATGGGGGTCCCAGCCAGAGAAACTGCTGATCCACTCAGCTGCTGGCAGAAGGGTTTGGTGTTGGGCCCTAAGACAACACCAGTGGGTGTGGAGAAGTCAGACAGAAAGGTGTTGTGTACCCCAAGATTCTTTTTAGTAAAGCTCTGAGCAAAAATAAGCTCTGCTCCTGCCCCTAATAATTTCTGGGTTTGCCACATTCTCTCCGATTCTCTTATCTGCTGCTTCTTGTCCACGGGGAAACCCAGACGCAAAGAAAAGATTTCTCAAAGTGAAACCAAAGCCAGCCAAGCGGCAGCTTCACATTGTCACTTGGCCAGCACTGCAGATCCAGTGGGTCTGCAGTCACCAGGCACAGGTTCCTTAAGTCCCTGGCCCAGCATGCTTTGGCAGAGTCCCCAAGAGCCCCTGCTCTCCTCTGGGCACCTGGGCCAGCTCAGGCCACCTGGGAGCTCAGCAGCCTGGGGACCTGGCCCTCCGGCAAAAGCCACTAAGCCTTCAGCAGTGCACAGTAGAGCTCCTGACCCCACCAAGAATAACTCTACTCAACAGGACCCTGGGGCCGTGACAGTGACAAAGAGGGAATGCTTGGTCCCCCAGCCTCTGACTCTCTGAAGACACTGTCCCGACAAGCCCAGCAGACAGGCTACCACAGAGGGAACCCGCCGGCACCAGGCTCCGGAACTTTTCCATCCTCTCTCCTCTCCATCCCACACTCCTCCCCCATCCGCAACTGAGCAGCTCTGGAGCTCTCCCTTCCTTGGGTTTGGGATTTTGCTCCAACACCCAAAGAGACTCAACCTACTAGCTCTCACTTTTATCCTAAAAGGAAGAAAGAGATAGATACATGATTTAAAAAAATAATAATAAACAAATAAAAAGATGAAAACCCGGGGTGGGGCAGCGGGAACAAAGGCGGGACGGGACTGGCTTCCCCCTACTCAAGGGTGGGTGGCTCGCCCCTTGAGAGCCCGTGGGAGCGCAGTCAGATTCGGCGGCAGCTGTGGCGCAGCGCCTCTTCAGAGGTGGCCCTTGCAGGCGAGTCGAATACGCTACACAAATTTGCAAGGCAGGAACATGGTCCAGGAAGGCAGGGAAGGGTCTAAGCGAGTTCCAGCGAGAGGTGCCCCTTCAGCTCTGCCGTCGGGAGACCCCAACTAAGGTTGCAAACGCACTGTGCTGCCCGTGGGTCACCACCGAAGACCACCTCGGCCCGGGCCGGAGCTGGCGGCCGCCTCCAAACTGTTTTAAGTGCTATCGAGTCGGTTCCGACTCATAGCGACCCTGTATAGGGTTTGCGAGGAGCGGCTGGTGGGTTTGGACTGCCGACCTTGAGATCGAGAGCTTAAACTAAGGCGCCACACTCGCCTGGCCGAGATGAGTCCTGGCCCAGGGACCCGCCGGCGTTTCTCTGCGGTGCGCTCGTTGCCGGCAGCTGGTTTTACTCCGGGTCGTCCGTGCAGGGGCAGGTTCCTCGCGACACCCGGCTTCTCTTCTCCTGGTCAGGGTTCGGCCCAGCCCAGGATGCTCATCCGCCGCTCAAGCAGGTCCCAGTTCAGGGGGCCTCTTCCCATTCAGAAAGAAACAAAACACAGAAGCCAGAGACAAACCAGCCAGGCGCCAGCAACTTTTAGATCTAGACGGATTTATTCTGTTTGTACGATGTTGTTTGTTTGTTTTTTCCCCTTTCCTCAGTTTCGTAGCAAATGGAAAAAGAGCACAACCAAAATAAAAAAACACAACACAACTTTCAACGTGTTGGCATGGTCTCCAGGTAGGAGCCGGCTGAGGCGCGAGGAAGGGCTGGGGCCCGATGGGGTGGCCCTGAGCGCCTGTTACCCGCTTCCTAGCGTCTCTCTCGGCAAGTCCAAAAAGCGATCCAGCTTTAGAGAGAGAGAGAAAAAAAATCAACAAACAAAAGGAAACAAAATTCAAAGAAAAAAGAAAAACGCTTTCTCGCCCAGCTCCCACGAGGAAGCCTCGTCTTTTAAAAACACAACAAAACGAAACTTCTGTGCGTTACCCTTTTTTCTCTTCCACTTCTCTTGAAGGTTAAAATAAGACATTTCCCGGGAGTCAGATAGGACCTAGTGCATAGAGAAAGAGCGCGGAGTCTGGCCGAACGCCGCGCGCGGCCCACCCCCCTCCCCCCGTCGAGTATAGTGGGGCTGCGGGACTGGGACTGTGGGCAGGTAAGTAGGGAGGGGGCTAGGGGGACAGGCGAGCAGGCGGACAGGCAGGGGCCGGGCCCCTCCGAGCAAGCGAGCAACACATGCTGGGGCAGGCGGACTTCGGAGGACCCAACCGGGGAGACACGGGGGTTCCGGAAAATTATTTTCTAATAATCGAGCAAAATAAATATAAATACTCCGAAAATAAGACCACCGTAAAAACGGGCAAGGAAAGGGAGAAAGACCGAGAACGGAGTGGGGGGCAGGCAGAGACTGCCCGGGAAGGGCGGCAGCGAGGCCCCTCTCAGCGGGCAGGGGCGAAGGTCGGAGCAGACAGCCACATTGGACATATGTACAAGTGGACGACTTTCAGTAAGCAGGCCCTGGCTCGAATTCCTGGAAACTCATCGTTCTCTGTGCGCATAGGATTCGTAGTAACCTCACGAGTCCGGGGAGGTGCGAGCGACCCGGGCCACGGCAGGGTAGCGACGAGGGAGCCGCGCCGCGGGGGAAGGGCCTCTGGTCCGGCGCGGGTCGCTCGAGGGCCAGCCGGGACAGAAGGCAGCTGGGGACCCGGCAGCCCACGTCCTGAGCAGGGTGCCCGAGCCGGTCCCCGGCGGCGCGGGCGCTCACAGGAAGAAGTCCGGCGCGCCCTTGGCCCCGCCCGGGCCGGCCTGCGGCGGCGAGGATTCCCGCGGGAAGCCGGCTGCGCCCGCGCCCCCGGGCCCGCCCCGGCCCGCCAGCTTCTCGTATTTCTCCTTGTACAGGTCCCGCTCCTTGGCCAGGCGCCCCACTTCCAGCTTCAGCTGCTCCACCTGACTCTGGAGCTGACATTTCTCGCTCTCCAGAATGTGCCGCTGCTGCACCCGCTTGAAGCGGCACGACTGCGCGTAGCCGCGGTTCTTGAGCGTGCGCCGCTTCTGCTTCAGTCGGATCACCTCCTCCTTGCTGAAGCCACGGAGCTGCCGGTTCAACTCGCGCACCGACATGGACACCAGCTGGTCGTCGGAGAAGCGCTCCTCCAACCGCACGTGGTGGCCCGCGCCGCCGCCGCCGCCGTGCCCCGCGCCAGCGTGGTGGTGATGGTGGTGGTGGTGGTGGTGAGCGGCGTGGTGGTGGTGCACAGGATGGTGTGCGCCCATGTCATCCGCGCCCCCGCCGCCGCCCGCGAAACCCTGGCTCCGGAAGGCCTCGTAGGCCGCGGCCGCCGGGTGGTGCGCGCCGTGGTGCGCGCCGTGGTGACCGCTGCCGATCAGCGCCTCCACCGCGTCCTCCGGCGTCAGGTTGAGCGCCTCGGGGTTGAGGTGGTGCTGGTAGCCGTTCATCCAGTACAGATCCTCCAGCGCCGGCTTCCCCGCAGCGCTCCCGACGGCGCCGGGGCCCCCACTTGGCGGCCCGGGGGGACCCCCGGCCTGCGTCGTGCCTCCGCCGCCACCCGCGCCGCCGCCGGTGCCCGGGCTGGGCGCGCAAAAGCTGGGCGAGGAGGGCACGGAGGAGCAGGGCGTGCTGAGCGGCGTCGAGGATAGGGAGCCGGGAGGTAGGCGGTGGCAGAAGCGCTCAGCCTCGGGCGGCTCCTTCTTCACCTCAAACTTCATCAGGTCGAAGTCGTTGACGTACTCTATGGCCAGCGGGCTGCTGGGCAGTTCGGCGCCCATCGCCAGCTCCGCGGCCATCGCCCGGGGCCCCACCCGGCGGCGCCCCGACGGGCGAGGGGGGCGGGGGCCTCTCCCCCCTCGCTCCCCGTGGGCGGCGGGGCCCGGCGCCGAGGAGCGCGCGGGAAAGTTCTACGCAGTTAAGTCAGGCGGTCTCTTGGCCGTCCGCGGTCCCGGTCTCCCGCGGCACGGGCTGGGCAGCGCGCCCACAGCTCGGGCTCCCGCCGCGGCCCAGCTCCTCCTCCAAGTCCGTCAGCTCACAGCGCGTAGCCTAGCCGGGCCCGGCCCCGCCTACCACGACCCGCGCCCAAGCTCGCGCGCGCCTCTTTATAGAGGCGGGCACCCGGGCCCGCCTCCCAGGGTGGGGGCACGCACCCCAGGACCAATCGTCTCTCTGGACCCGCCCCCTTATTTGCCTGTCCCCATGGCAACCGCGGAGCCCAGTTGTCAATCTCAGGCGGGAAACAGCTGTGGGGAAAGGGTGAGAACCCGCTGACGCGCTGAGGGGGGTGCAGGGCCCTCTGGTGGCCGCTGAGAGGGACTGCACGGGTCAAGGACAGTGCCGAGGGGCTAGGGGCTGGACCCACCTGCAACCCTGTAGGTTCTCGTGTCCGAAACGCGACTGCCAGAGAGTTTGGGGAGGAGGGGAACCCAGCCCTTTGTCCCCGGGGGCCTTGCGCATGGAGTCCCCTCCCCGCTTGAGTCCAGTCCCGGCTAGCGCGATGCCGGAATCTCCTGTGTCCTGACCCGGTGACACCGCGCGGCGCTCGGGACGCACGGCTGCGCGTTGGGCCGACGGTTATTTTTAGCCTGCAGTTCAGACGGGTTCAGGATGGTCAACAAAGTTGCTGGCACCTTCGGGCGCGGGAGTCACCGGTGACCGGGCCGGGCTCCAGAATGAGAGGCGCTAGGGGAGACGGGCGCGCGAAGCGGGTGACCCTCGGGGAAGGAGGAGTCTGGCGACAGGGTGGGAGGTCCTTGAAGGAGGGACGGCCGCGGGATCGAGGCTGTCCCACATTAGGAATCTGGACCCTCAGCTGTCCCCTACGTGGTTAGGGTGTGGAGTGTGAGTGATGACAGGTGGTGGGGCCTGCCACCTGTTGAGAGGGAGCCTCAGGTGTGTCCAAGCGTCTGGAAAGGAGACCCCTGATCCAGAGGCCAGACCCCGAGTGTGGAGAGTGCGTCTAAGGAGCAGTCTCTGTTTAGTCTCCATGTGACTGTTGCGTGGCTTTGACAGTTACGTTTCAATCTGGACCTTAGTTCTTTCTCCCTGTTAGAGCAGTCCCAAGGGAAGGGTCCCTGCCAGGATAGCTCTGGGGGCTTGTACACTGTCCCCCCAGGAATAGCTATTATTTTATCATTAGGAGATGCAATCAGATAGGACCACAGGCTCCAACAGGGCTGTGGCCCAAGGAGTAACTAACCCTCCACCTCCCTCCTGCCCCCACCTCATCCTGTTTACCCCTGCAGCCTCCTGGGAGGGGAAAGGGTGAATGTCTGAGTGAATGGGTGAAGGGGGCCTGGGGGCCTGGGTGGAGAGCCTCTGGGAGGGGAGGGACCTCATTGCATCGAGTCCCTGAGCACAGACCTCCCACCCCGAGTCCAGCCCCAAGATGGAGCCTTAGCCTGGTGGTTCTCCAACCTTGTTCAGGGGAACGTGGTGGTGGTGGGGGGGGTTGGAGTTCAGGGCCACCATGTGAGAAGTATCACTCCCCCACCCCAAGGCCACACATGGGCACCACCGCAGCACCACCACTGTACCCCTCACCCAAAGCCCCCAGACCACACGCATTGCTGGCAACTTGGGGCTCCGCTAGAACCCTCTATGTTTGGAGGGAGGCCCTGGGGGCTGAACTCCGGGAGGCGCCACATAAGGTGTACTGCAAGAAGGCTGCACCCTGTGGACCAGGTGGGGGTGGTCTGGAAGCCCTGGAGAGCCAGGAATCTGCTGGGGAGGAAGGTGCTGCCTAACCTCAGGTAGACGCAGGAGACTGGACAGCTCCTCACAGCGCCAGGTTAAAGCTGGGGGAGAGGAATGGGAAGGCATAAGCGTGAGGCCCTTACCCGGCTCCAAGCTCAAGTGCCCTTCAAGTGTGATGTTTGAGGACACTGGATCCAGAGTCACGCAGCCCTCACTCCTCCTGAATTCACCCCCTCTGTCTACAATCACACACACATTCATTTATTCATGCATATATCATTAGTTCATCCCTTCACCCATTCATTCAGACCTGCATCCTTTCCCCTCCCAGGGGGTACAGGGGTGAGCAGGATGGGGAACAGGTAACTCCAGGGTCTTCCTAGAACACCCCAGAAGACTCCAGGAATTCTCGGGGTCAGTAGGCCTGTCCCTCAGCTCTGGGCTATTTCTGAGGCCTGGAGCTCCCTCACTTGGCTGCTGCCTGTGTGGTCCCCTCCTGTCACCCTCAGGTGTACCTGAGCTCTAGAGATACAATAACAAATACCACAAGCATGTGGTTTTAGCAAGCACGTGTATTCTCTCACAGCTGGTGAGGAACACAGTCTGGGATCCTCGAATTTGGTGGCACGAGGTAGCACTTCATTGTGTTCACTGATTCTGTGGGTCAGTCGGGAATTGGGACTGGGCTCGGTGGGACAACTTGTCTCTGATCCCGACATCTAGGAAGACTCGAAGGCTAGGTAGGGACTGGAGGCTGGAGTCCTCTGGCAGGTGGTCGGCTGGTACAGCCACTGTGGCATCGCCTTGTGGTCTCGGACCAGAACTGATTGGGCTTCCTGACAATGTGGCAGAGTAAGCGGCCTGAGAGCATGTGACCTAGCCTCATAGTCACTCCTCATGGACACTATTGCTAAAGGAACTCACACAGGTCACCTGGATTCGGAGGTGGGGGGGTGGGCATGGACTCCCCGCACATCATAGGTCATGTGTAGGAGAAAGTGTAGGCTAGGGGAGATCGTTAGAGCCATCTTTGGAATGTGTAAATTGTCAGAAGCAGGGTCAGAAGACAGAAAACTAAACATCAAAATCATCACTAGTACAGAGGATCAGTTTCCTGCCGCTGTGTAACAAGCTGCCACACACTCAGCAAAGTCGGTCAAAGTAACACAGCACATTTACTGAGTGGTTTCCACAGAGCACACTCCCCAGCTTAGGGGCGCCACAGCCAATCTCCTCTGGTACTCAACTGGGGAAGACGCTGCCCCCACACTCACTCAGGTTCCTGGAAGAACTCAGTTCCTTCCCACAGCTTCCTGTGTGGCTGGGGGTCCTGGCTTCTTGGGAGTTGTGGCTGGAGGCTGCCCTAGGTCCCAAAGGTACCCACAAGTCCTGCCCCCACCTGAACTGTGCACTCCATTATGCCAGCAAGGATGCAATCTAGTTCAGTGTAACATGATCGTGCGCACTGCTGTTCTCCACTCAAGGGGGTGGGGGGGTGGGGGGGTGTCATGATTGAATTGTGTCCCCCTAAACTAAGAGTTCACCACTCCTCTGTCAGTTTGTCGTACTGTGGTGGCTTGTGAGTTGCTGTGATTCTGAAAGCTATGCCACCGGTATTTTAAATACCAGCAGGGTCACCCATGGTG